TATTTAACTTAGCTTTGAAAATAATTTATGCATTATACATTGATTTTGTAACTATAGGAAGTTATAGTTTATAGTTCAAATATATGATTAAACGAAGTGACTTGTAAATTTTCAACTAATTATCCAAGTCCTTTGACACACTGAGATCTGTCCTTTCAATAGAAAACTTCCATAAGTAGTTAGGTTACTGCCAGATGCTAAATTATTAGAACAAATCACATTTGGAAAAGGTAAATTATAGGCTTAGGGATCAAAAGCCAAAAGAACACAGAAAGCAACCTTGTGTAACTTGACACAGATTATCCTGCTTCATCAGTTGATTGGCTAGCAGAGGAAAGAGAGGACCTTTCTGTAATTGGAGATTCAGGTATGCATTCTCTAGTATGCGTTCCGTATTCCCTCTACTCTTCTGAGTTTCCATTCACAAGGCTAGATCTGGTCACAGCTCCTTAGGTTTGCAGGATGCTTTAGCTAGCTATTTCTGTCTTTCCAAGTATCAGGGGAGGGTAGGAAGAAGCCAAAGGTAGTCAATGGCTTTTAAAGTTTTCGCTTCTCAACATTTATTTTTAATGTGTTAATTATAGAGGCTGCAAACTTTATTATCAGATAGGAAAAACATTTAAAAAGTTTAGAGGAAGAAAAAAAAAAGCCCGAGGCTTTGTTAGGATAATGTATTTTTGTTGTTTGATTCTCTGTTTGAGACTTACTAAAAAGCTGCAGGGTTGAGGTTGGCCTGCTGTGGACCTGACATACTGTGTGTCACATTGGAATGTGGGGGGTGTGGAGGGTGATCAGCTCCTTCTCCACAGAGAGCTGAGGGGGTGTTGGGCAGCGTCTAAGCTGTCTCATTTCTGACTCACGCTAGCTTACCGTGAGCTGCGTTTATCCTCTGTCCTTTTCTTACGGGTGGACGAAAAGCACGGTGAAAACTGTTAGCTTTCTTCATCTCGTTCCTTTCAGCCCTTTTTGCTGTCATCTTCTCTTGATGCAAGGGATGGGGACCAAAGAAATAAAGGGCATTCTGGGAATGCGTCCTGGCTGCTGCTGCTTGCTATAATGTAGGTTAACTGGGAACAGGAGAGGTCACCCCATTGGCTCTGTCTGCAGAGGCAGTAAGGGCAGAGCTAGACGCAGTGTGTCCTCATGCTGGTAGAAGCCATTGCTTTGGTTGCTGAAGAAGGGCCAGTGCTGGTGGTGGGAGGGGCCCGAAAGATTCCAGAAACAGGACTGAGTTTCCTCTGTGACATAGGTTGGAATTGTTCCTGGGCTCTGTGACTCTTCTCAAAGCCTGGAGTCATGGAACTCATTATTCTCCCTGGGAAACTAACACCAGACCTTCTCAAAGCATGTCTGTGACATACTGTTGCAGACTCTGTATTTTCCCCTTTGGATAACGAAGGTTTTAATATTAATGTGAGAGTATTTCTTCCTTTTTCGGGCAATGTCCTTACTTCATCCTGGAAATGTTTTTGTTCTGTTTTGTAAATCATGACCTCATTAACAATACAGCAAAGAGACTTTTTATTATCTTTGTGGCTTTCGAGGTGACTCGCCATCTGTGAGTGGCCTGGTTACTATAGAAATGTAACTGTTAGAAAGTGGACGCTAAAGGATGACCCAGAATGGAGACATCAATAAAGCAGGGGAAGAAATCAGGGCGTATAGTGAGGGTGGTGGTAAAATTTTTATTTTCAGTTACTTGACGTCTTTACATCTAAAATGGCAGTATTAAGCAATAAAGCTCAATTTTCTTATTTTTCCCCCAAATTGGAATACCATAATTTTTCATGTATTTTAAGTGGAAATAAAATTTTGGTCATACCATTTGGGCTCTGCTGACATGTTAAGGTACAGAGCATCTGATTTGCTGAGACATGTGTATAAACATCCCGTTACATATGTGTCATCAGAGCCTTAGTGGCTTCCATCTGCAGCAAACGGGACCTGGAAATGTCTCAACCCAGGTCTCTGTTTGTCTTTCTGGTGCAGCTGGATGACTGTGGGCTGATTCAGGAGAGAATGTATGAGTCGGTGTGGGGGAAGGGCAGACCTCTGCTTTGCTCCCTACTCCAAAATCCAAGATGTGCAAACGCCAACGACAGACATACTGGCATTCATTCATAGCCTCTCATGACCCTAACAACACAGCAAGCCTTAGCTAACACAAACGGCCAGCCTTCAGAGCAGAGGTACAGACAATAGGGAATGGATTGTCATGGCACTGTCCTGTAGAGGGATGGGACCTGTTTATCACTGATGAGCAGTGCACATGAAGATACCATATACCACATCTATATACACATTCCGACTTTATGCCCTGGAGGCACTGTATGAAAAAAACTCAATACACATATTACAGCCCAGTAAAACTGTTAAATCATGATCCTGCCCCCTTAAGATGGTGGTCACCCTAGGAGGCCAGATCTCACAGCCTGAATAAGTAAGGCCTCCCTGTTGCTCTCTCTCTCTCTCTCCCCAATTGGTTATCCAGTGCTGGGTGGTTATCGCTATAATTATTCCCATTTTTAGCAATGGCATAATAAGCTTATGACACTTGTTCGGGGTCAGGCAGCTAGAATATGATGCTGTGGTGACAGACCTCCAGGATGTAGAGTCACTTTGTGCATGTCTGCAACTGGGCTCTGCCAAGATTAGTTTACTCTAGCCTTAGTTAAGAAACAAATAGAAATCTAGATTGTTAAAAATTTTTCTAAGTTTATTCTTTCATTGTCCTAATTACAAATTATTGTTAATTTCATTTACTAAAGATGAAAAAAACCTTATATTCGAGCATGTTTTATTTTTAATTTTTTCTGTGTGTGTATGTGTTCACTTTTTCTATCAGGTGCCCATAGAGCTCGGAAGATGGCATAAAGTCCCCTGGAACTGGAGTTACAGATGGCTTTGAGACACCTCATAGGAAGACTGGGAATTGAACGTGGATCCTCTTGGAAGAGCAGGATACATCCTTAGCTACTGACTCATCTCAATATTCCTGCCAAGATTTACATTTAAAAGACAAAAACAAGGCAAAAACTATGTGTATACCACCAGGAAATCAAAGACGCTAGCCATGCCTTGCATTATGGTTCTCTATGTCATGAAGGCTTCAAGTTCCCGCCACCTGAGGAAACTGCTCCCGACAGTGGGTGATCGCTGTTGTGCCCAGTATAGTACTGATGTAAGATTCATACTGATGGACAGGATTAGGACTGAGAGGTATTCTCAGGATAAGAATTCTCTGGCACACAAACCAAAGAGCCAAAAGATACAATAACCACTCCCACTCTTCTCCGTAGCCATCTTAGCATCTCTGGGTTTGACGTTATTGGAGTAACACACAGATGTTCTTTGCTTCATTCTCATGGGAGATGTAGGTATAGACCCTGTCATCTCTAGGTTTCTTTATGGGAGTCACAATCTCAGCCAACAAAAATATACAAGGCATGTAATACACTGTGATTAGAACTGTCTAGAAATATGGGCATCTTCTCCCCTTATATATGATTAAGATGAAAGATGTTCAGCTTCTTTAACAGAAAAGAAAAAAATTAGGGGCAACCTGTTTCTTCCTTATCGAAGCACCCAGCCATTCTTCCTTTATATATAAACCACACTAACAAAAAACAATGGGCTACCATACCTTCCTTGCCTTGATTGGTCTACATCTGCTTGGCTATCTAGTCCAGAAAATATTTTCAAGAATGGGAGTTTGTAGACTTTAGGATGTTTTTGTGAATTTTAGTATCCTTTTAACTTTCTTAATTCTGTAGTTCTTAAATGGACATACTACCAAACTGCCTTCTAAATACATCTCTCCATGCCCATATTCTAGCGCAGGTCTCAGCCCTCGTCAGAGAAGTATCTTTGTCGGGTAGATGGCAGCTAGTACAGAAACTCACAATTGCTTAAAGTGCAGAGTAAGTATCTGTACATCTATATCATCCCCCCACCACCACACATACACTACAGAAACACACACTACACACACACACACACACACACACACCAAGGCTCAGTTCAGGGATCATCAGCAAAGAGTACTGACTGTAGGAACAAGAGGTCAGACATCTGCTGCAAACCTTTTTTGCCCAACATGACAGACAGGTAGGTCGTTGCACATGAATTCATAGTTATGATTTCAGCACTGGACCCATACAAGATCAAGCTAGCCACCATTCCATTGAGAATGTGGGAAGAATACAGGAGCCTCCACTCCTAGCTATTGACAGTTGGTGTCTGTTAGAGAAGAGACTGTCTTATTTAATAGTGTAGGCCTCGGAAGGCTAACCATGTTCTGGGGGATGCCCCATGCATGTATGGTCAGCATTTCATGAAGCTGAGAGAGGGACATGGGAGAATCTCAAAGTAGCAAGAGAGGGAAGCAAGGAGGTTTGTATGATTGAAATATATTGTACACATGTATGAGCTTTTAAAAGAATAAATGAATGTATATTAAAAGCAAGAAATACTTGCAACAGAAGGGATTCTCAGTGCGATGGAATAAAGACAAGAGTAAAGAAAAGCTGGGGAATGACAATTTGAAAGGAAAGTTCAAATTTCATTCAAAAGGAGGTCAAGAAATAGCATATGAAATGTATTGTGATAAACAAATGTACAAGACTCACACTTATCAAAAGAGGGGTGGAGTTTGTACAAAAGTGCTTTAGAGGGAATAAGATATGAAGAACAGATGTTTATGCCCGAAGCTACCCAAGGTAGGAAGGCATCTCAAAAGTCATTAAAAGAGAAGTTCTTTAAAAAAGTTGTTACAGGCAAAGTTGGAGGCGCATAGTTGTAGGAAAAGGTAGTCTGAGCTAAATCCACCTGAAGTTACATTCAGTGTAAGCATTTCCAGACAGATCGTGGGTTTCAGTCATGTCCCTTAGCCCAGAGCTACCAGCTACATAGCAACTGTCAAATTACCATACCTCTTAGCGTACTCCTCCTGTGCATTTTCTGGAGACCAAAATAGACCATCTGGATAGCGTTTCACTTACGTGAGCTTTTGAAGTCTTTCTTTTTCAGTCTCCTCCTCATCATGGTTCCTCGTGGGCTAGTGGAGTAGAGGCTTCGAGGTAAAGTGCCCATGTTCAGGGAGCTCAGACTGTACGCGCTCATAGAGGTAGGAGAGGACGACGGTATCACAGCCGCTGTAAGAGAGCAAAGACTTGGCACGGAGCAGTTCTAGATGCGGCCACCCCGTGCCAACCAGCAACGACCCAAAGAGACACCACATAGTCACGATTAGTTAGTATTCCGACCCAGACAAAGACCAAGCCCAGAGCCAGTGCTTTAGAGTTTCAGAGTCACGAGTTTTTGAGGAGCAGGGGCCCTCCATAGCCTGTGGCTACACACAGACTGTGCATTTTGCTTCAGACAACAACAACAACAAAAAAAAATTAAACAAAGATTAGAACAAATTTCTCCATAAAAAACTTAAGACATCAGGCACACCATGTCATTTTTGGTGCATTTCCTGACACGGATGTCGTAAGTGACTCACATACACAGAGATCTGAGACCACCATACTCCAAGTTTGAGTTGTCCCGAGTTGTATAGAAAGGCTTCTGAACTTTTTCCTATTTTCTTCTTTTATTGTTTCTGTGGTACTGGGGAGGGGACTCGGGGCCTCGCACACGCAAGGCAAGCCATCTGTCATTAAGCAACGTCCCCATGCGTTCCGTCTGTTTATACTGACGGATGCTTCCCAGCAGAAAGGAAGACAGGTAGCAGAAACAACGTGGTGTTAGTACAAAGAAAACCACAAAACTGAAAGCAGGCGCTACCCATGGAGCCAGAGATGGAGTGAGGCAGGGGGAAGGAGGCATGAGAAGAACAGAATCAAAGGAAGGACCAGGAGGAGAAAGCCTGGAACATTACGAGGGCTGTTTGGAGGAAGCGCTTTCGGGAAAGCCAGGGCCGGTACTCTGCAATGGTCGGGGTGGTGCGTGTTATGGTGATGGTTGGTATGAACGCTGCACTGGTTGCTGGCCCAGGAATCCCAGGGAAGTTGTCTGTCGCTCCTCTGAATTTTCACTGCCCACGTGACGTGATGATGAGAAATAAGGAAGACAAGGAACCAAAACAAAACAAGAGAAAAGAAAAAAAGAAAAAAAGGAAAAAAGGAAAAAAAGAAAAAGTAACTGAATTGCACAAATTAAGAAAAAGAAAAAGAAAAATCGTTAACAAAAATGAAAGCTGCTTGCAAAGAGGGAAACAAAAATCTACTTGGCTTTGCCCTTTTCTAAGCGGTCAGCAAATGGAAGGTTCACAGCAGCCGTGGAGACTTTCATCTTCCGAGAATCATGTGTGTCTTTCCCGGCCCATCTTTTTACTATTGAATTAATTTCTAACCTCCCCTCCCCACCCCCCGCGGAGCTTCACTGCAGACATTAAAAAACATTTCTTTTTTTGAAACTTAAAAGTCATCCTCATAAAGATCTATGACACACGATTAGTAATTAAGGCTTTGCAAATCCTGGTCAGTTAGGAACCCTTCGTCAGAGAAAGAGAGGAGACGGGACAGTAAATCACGCCGGCTTGTGATGTGCGTCCCACTGCACGATTTACTGCCCCGCTGTTTTAATTACACTGCCATCCATCCATTCCGTGCCCTCGATTTTCCTCAACAATAAACTGTTGTAATCATCTGCCCCATCAGAACCTTTTTTCTTCCCTGACTGATAAGGAGAAAAGCCTCAATATATTTTATGAATTTTTTTTTTTTTTACAAAAAGGCCATACGAGAAACATTTATTTTAAAAATGCTTTATGTTATTATATTTCATTAATATGGCATAAAATTGAAATTGTAATGAGTTTAACTTCAAAGTTTTGGTATCCATATTCTGTTTATAAAAAAAAAGGAAGTATATCATGTTCCCATTCTAAATTTGCTGTTGTTAAGATTTGACTTTTGGGGGTGAGGATGTAGTGTGATTGGTGGGGTGCTCACTTAGTTTACAGGAACCCTGGGCTTGGTACTCAGGGTACATAAACCAGGCCTGGTGACACACGTCTATAATCCCAACACTCAAGAGGTGCAGGCAGAAGAACAGAAGTTTAAGGTCGTCATAGCCTACACAGTCTGGGCTATATGAGACAGTATCCTTTTACATTTCAAACTTTATTATTAAAATGTTGCACATAAAAAATATTCACACCCAGAAATGTAATCAGAATGACAAGACTTTACGTTCAAAACAAGGAAAAATTAAATTTCTATCGGTCTGGCATTCTGGAAAATGGCTTGTATTCTATTCTTGTTACCAGATCAGATAGGGACAATACTGTACCCAATAGGGACCTTTTCTCGGAGTGATCGCGGAAGCATTGAAAACAGTCATGAACTTTGATTTTCTCTTATGACTCTATGGTTAAGAATCTGAGCGAGTGACAGTAGTTACTCATGCAAAGGCACTGAAAGCTTTGCATGAAAATGAGTATTCTCTAGATTCGAGCTTGGGAGGGCACCCCCAGCCTGTCTCATCCTCAAAGGTCCTAGCATAGGGGTCTCCTGGCGCGAGGCTGACATGGGCCTCGCTTACCTGCCTTTGTGTTCCCCTTGTCTTTGACCTTCCCAGCTAGGCAGCCTCTCAGCCCCACTGTCCTCAGGGAAGCATCGCTCCAGCTGTGGGAATTATGCACACACAGCATTCGGCATGGTGCTGCCTCACAGAACACAAGCAGATGCGCCATGAGCAGCAGCAGCAGCAGCGCTGACTCTCCCTACCGTTCCATCGACTTGACAACAACAGACATCCTGAGAGGAAATGGATGTGATCTTGGTCAACAGGTTTCCCTCCCTCGGCACTTGGGTTTTAGAAGATTTGTAGAAAATCTGTGAAAGCAACCATTTTGCAGCCACTGTGATCTAAACCTGGGATTACCTTTCTGCAGGAGTAGCTGGTTTGATTTTCCTGTGTCTAGGTACCACCTCCTCCTAGACTACAGCACTACCGCCATGTTAGCCTCTGATTCACATCTGGCACATCTGCTTTCTAGTATCCATAACACATCTAGGGGGATCTTTTTTTTTAAATCAATTATGTGCCCCTCCAGCTCCCGCCCACAGTTCCTTACCCCATTCCTCCTCCTCCTCCTTGCCTCCAAGAAGGTGCTCCCCCTGACCCTCATTCCCCTTCTCTGGGGCATCAAGTCTCTTGAGGATTAGACACATCCTCTCCCACTGAGACAGGCAATCCTCTGCTATGTATGTGCTGGAGGGTCTTGGACAAACCCATGTATGCTGTCTGGTTGGTGACCCAGTCTCTGGGAGCTCCCAAGGGTCTGGGTTAGTTGAGACTGCTGGTCTTCCTATGGGATCGCCTTCTTCTTCAGCTCCTTCAATCCTTCCCCTAATTCCTCTATAGGGCTCCCTGACTTCATTCCAATGGTTGGGTGTATCTACATCTGTCTCAGTCAGCTGCTGGTAGAGGGCCTCTCAGTTGACAGCCATGTTAGGATCCTGTATGTGTTCAATCGCATCACCTCTGTGTCCAAGGTTTCTGTTGCAAGGAGAATTGGACAGTCTCTTATCTCTATGTTTCCTGTTTTTGGGGGTTTTGTTTTTGTTTTTGTTTTTTTTAAATCATTCACCATGCATCTCTTTCAGCCACACTGGTCTTATATCTCTTAGAACAAGCCAGCTACCTTCCTTCTGCTGTAATCCTATGGCCGCCTCCACTGTTTGTACGACTGGCTCCTTTTCATCATGTAAGCCTTAGTTCTGGTGTTATCTCTACCAAAGAACTACTGCTGACATTACTGGTTGTAGTAGCTGTCAATGTCATGTTATCTCATTAACTGTCTGTACCCTGCATATCCCATGTCACTGTCTGTATTGGCCTTACTATACAATGCATGTTAATGGTCTCTTTATACCAGACTGTACGTTCTCTAAGAATTGAGATCTTTACTTGTCTTGCTTCTTAGAGTCTTGAACTGTACCCAGGACATAATGCTTGGCGCTTGCTTGACGATAGCTTTGTCCTTGAGATAAAAGGAGTATTCTAGGCAAGACATTAGTGTTTTTCCCCCCTCTCTTCATTATCCTTATTTACTTTGTGACACATAAGACGCCTTGTAGCAAGATGCAGTTAGTGCTGGGTCTGGCTAATCTACAGTTACAGCCACTCTATTGTCCACTCAACAAAGCATTGTCCGTGTTTCTAACGAAGCCAGGCTTGGGTGAATGGACTTCAGAATTACATACCCGCCTCAGCTCTTCACTGAATACTTTGAAAACTACTGAGGGTTTATTAGAACTGTCAAGCCAAATTAATGAACCCGTAAGGAAGATATTGCTGACTAGCTATTGCAAGCTTATCCCCATGCCAGCTAAGGGCAGGTGAACTTGGAGTCGTAAACTTCCCCTTGATCTGTAACTATTATTGGGGACTAAGTCTTTAAACATCGAGTGATTATGAGGTAAGGTGTTACAGATGATGCAGAAAGTTGGATTCATGATTGATGAAGGCCTTTTAAAACTGACATAGGCGGGCAGAGAACACAGTGAATGCCCTTTTTGAATGTATATTCCAGATCTCTTATGTTTTAGAGTGGTGTGATGGTTTGTATATGCTTGGCCCAGGAAGTGGCCCTATTAGGAGGTGTGGCCTTGTTGGAGTGGGTATGTCACTGTGGGTGTGGGCTTAAGACCCTCACCCTAGGTTCCCAGAAGTCAGTCTGCCACTTGCGGCCTTCAGATGAAGATGTAGAACTCTCAACTCCTCCTACACCATACCTGCCTGGATGCTGCCATGTTCCCACCTTGATGATAATGGACTGAACCTCTGAACCTGTAAGCCAGTCCCAATTAAATGTTGTCCTTATAAGACTTGCCTTGGTCATGGTGTCTGTTCACAGCAGTAAAACCCTAACTAAGACAAGTGGTATACCCAACATTCATATAGTAAATAAGTATTCCAGGGGATGAATAGTAAGTAGTCACGTTTTGGGCATGCTCTTGCATTTTGGAAAGGAAACTCAGAGGCACTATCTGACTTAGCTGTGCAATAATAGCGGTCCATGTTCACTGAGCTCCTCCTGCATCCCGGATGCTGTGGTACCTGCTTTGAACGGAGTGTTGCAGATGCTGCTGCTTAAGGTGTTCTGATGAGGTGGACATTACTGTGATCCACACTTTATAGATAAAGAACTTAGGGTACAGAAAGGTTGGGTAGCTTTCTTAAGGTCTTAAGGTGCCAGAATGTACTCTTTGGATGCCCAACCCACAGCCACCACAAGTCACTGCCTCTTAAGGTAGAGGCTCGAGAAGCCCTTGCTCGAGATGAAAAACCAAGCAGAAGTTGCATTGCTTCCCATGCCACTGTTGCTACAGACGCTCAGACGCTTATGACATCTAAGGCACTGGCTTCCATTTTTCTTAATTGTAATCTCCTGCCCTGCCAGGATATCCGAGAGAATGGGTGACAGCTAGTCTGGTGGTTGTCCCTGGGAATCACAGGAATGGAATATTCTCCTGCTTTGAACCCATTAAGCCCAGTGACTCTGGCCACAGTGACTGTCCTAGAATTCCCTTTCCTTCCATGGAGTTTGTCTCCCAAAGACTTTTAGCAAGATAGTTTTCAACCTCAATAAAAACTAATGTTCTTCTTTGCACTGTGGGGCCGGGAATGCAACTTAAGGCCTTGTGCATGCTCCCTTCGGCAAGCATGTTCTCCCTGAGCCACACAGCTATCCCTGAAAAGGTGACCGTGATCAGTGTGGTGAATGCTATCATTTACCAGGGAAAGGCACAGTGCAGCCCTTGTGCTGAGTTAGCGTATCCTTTCCCACACTGATCTGGAATCACTATGGTGAACGTTTTTTGTGGCCAGCCAACTCTGGAAAATGTTGCATCTTCATATTTTCATGAGACGAGAGACACAGTGCCCAGGCACTGCAGACTGGAAAAAAAGCGATCAGACTTTACATTTTGAAATAGTGGTGAAAAATACGAGAGACTTCAGACTTTGGTAATACAGAAATAGAAGCGTGAGAATTGCCAAGCAACCCCACATTCTCTTAATCATTTTCCCTCAGGACTGAGATATAATTATGTTTAAGTGCCACTATTTATTCCTTTTAGAAAGTCTGCTCTCAATGTAAAAACATAGGGGAGATGCTAATATGCTAAATATGGAAGGCAGTCAGCCCTACACTGTCAGCTTCTTACCTTACAAATACAAATGACGTCAGGGGTTCCAGGAAAGGAAAAAAACAATGCATTCTCCCCACATCGGGCTCAGCATATAAATTCTTTAACTTTTCAAATTATCTTGGCAGGTAAAAAATATTTAATATTTCATAAGCTGGGAACTATTTGAACTATTTGGGATTTGCATACAGGGCAAATAAAGTAAAATAATGAGGTTGCTAAAAAAAAAAAAGTAACAGTTTGAAAGGATATGTTCACATTTCTGATTTCCCAACACCAGATGTGAGCCACATCTTCTTTTCCAGAAAGCACAGCACACAGCCTTAAAGCTTCTGTGCCTCAAGTCTGAGGGTGTCTTCAGATACACTGAGAAGATGCACACACGGTTTTAGATATCTCCCCCCACCCAGCCAGCGCAGGAAGGACCTGGGGGCTTTGGTTGAGGCCTGTGTACATCTCCACTGGCTTCAGCATCCTATAGCTCCTTGGTACCTCAATTCCGCTGTGCTGATTCCCAATCCTAACCTGCCTATGCGGCATCATTTCCTCACGCCAAAGTGTCAAATTAAAATCTGATAAGGGCGACGCTGTACTGGAGATTATCATTAGCTCCAGGGCTGTCTAAGCTCCATTTAATTAAAGAGGTTGCATCCAGCTGACTCATTCCGTATGAAAATTATTTCGTCCCTCTTTCTTCTCCCTCCTGCAGAGAAGCGCAGTGCCTTTTAGAAGGTGAGAGGCAGATGACCTTCCCACAAGCCAAATTCCACCGATAGGAAACCTGGGATGTTGGTAATTGTAGAAAATGCTGTTCCTCTTTAGCTAACGGCGGGGAGGCTGCCTGCTTCCTAGACTGAATAGGGTGCAGGGGCATGCCGTTTAGGAAATAGGTGGGGAACGGAATTGGAACAAAGATTCCATCAGATCTCAGACTTCCCTGGAATCATGGCTCAAAGTCTTGTGTTTGTACCAGCCAGGTTTGGTTTAAGATGCCTGAGTGGATGGTTCTATACATTGAGAAAAGTTTATCTGTACACCGCAAGTCAGTGAGAGTGCAGATTTCGTCAGCAGACTCTCTGTACTGCAATGAGTCTACTGCCTCGTTCTCCCTGGCATGAGGTTAGGCCTGGTCTTTATCTTGGGGGAGGGGAGATAGATATTCCAGCAAATAGACAAAAACACTGGAATCAACTTTTCCTATAATAGTGTCTCCCTGATGAATATTTAATGGATCTGTTATTAATATGAATTTGCTTTATTTTATTTTAGGATAGTAAAAACCAATTCATTCAGAGATGGTGAGAGAGGGTTGCAAAGGTTAATGCTATCTGAGGTCCTTGCCTGGCCTCCTTGCTGCAAGGTGTGCTTTTAGTTTTATGGTGTGTGTGTGTGTTTGTGTGTCTCTCTACGTGTGTGTGAGAGTTTTAATGCTTGTTTTCATTGTCCTTTACAGAGATTAAAATTCACTGTGATCATCACGAAGCCAAATCATTTTCCTTCTTACTCAGTTACAGCAAAGTTTAAAAACAAACAAATCAAAAAGTTCCACCATAAAATTTCAATTTCAGGATTTCTTTCTTGTGTTTTGGGGCTTCCAGTCACTATCCATGCTTGTCACAAGGGACACTGAAGATGGAAAGGGAAAAGAGGCAGAAGCTGGTGATATGGTACAGGATCTTGTCTTCCTGACTCTGGAGGAAGAAGACTGCAAGAGCAAGATAAACAGAAGGATCTAGAAGGTTCCTCTCACCATGGTCAGGGCCTTTTAGGGCAAGGCGGGTCTGGTGGTGTGGGAGAATCTCCAGCTTGACCTGGTCAGTGGTGTTGGCCAGGAACTGGGTGGCTTCTGCGAGGGTACAGTATTCCATGCTCGTACCATCGATGGAGAGGATGTGGTCTCCAACATGTAGCGCGCCACATCTATGGGATGGAGAGACAGCATCATCAAAAGTATCTCTTTCGCTGGGCGGTGGTAATACACGCCTTTAATCCCAGAACTTGGGAGGCAGAGGCAGGTGGATTTCTGAGTTTGAGGCCAGCCTGGTCTACAGAATAAATTCCAAGACAGCCAGGGCTACACAGAGAAACCCTGTCTTGAAAAAAGAAAAAGAAAAGGTATCTCTTTCAGAATGAGACTTTCATGTTCCTTAGAGTATTATGTATGCAATTATCGCTTACTTAAAAATTTAATGTTATATTTTAGGCATGTAGGGTCTGAATCAAAATATAAAATCTTGTGGAAAATGCAAAAAAAAAAGTGAACAAATGATTTTCTTATCCTCTTGTCCTTAAAGATATTTTGTCCTTAAACATTTTGGGGTGGGGATGTGTAGCAGGATACTTACTCTGCTACATTGTATTTGCAATGGAGCTCGGTGATTAGGCAGTAGAAGAGGAGGTGGAGTTGGGAGAAGAAGAGAGGAAGGGGAGGAGAAGGCGGAGGCTACCAACCATGGAGAACCAAGGATAGGTCGAAAGCTGTCCTGGGTAGCAACTTCTATCAAAAGGTTAGATATTGGGTAACAATTCTAATTGTGTGGACATCTTGTTGATTGAGCATTTCTAAATATATAAATCCTTTAGATAATCATTAAGCTTTAAGATTATCATTTCTACCGGGTACAATCATTAAGCTTTAAGATTATCATTTCTACCGGGTACTGCGGGGATAGCAGATGTTGTCTGGGGTTCAGCCGAGCTTCGTAGATACAGCGTGATAGATTTACAGAGCCATCCACCATGCTGGCATCTCGTGGGTGCCAGGGCCTGCACATCTAGCTAGCCAGAGCCCTGGTCAGAGCCAAGGAGCAGCAGGAACATGGTGGTTGCCAAAGACCAAGCTGGATCTGGTGCTGTTTTCTAAATATCCCCCTATAGGGATGTTAAATATTAAGGGGAAACAGACAAGAGGGGCATGAAGAAGACAATTGTTTTCCATGATTCTGTTCTCTGACTTTTTTCTCTTAGGTTCTTAAGTCATAATTATGAACTGTCAGTCACTCAGAGTCTTGAGCTGTGACTTTTTGAACTGGTCTTGGGTCCTATAGATGATGATGATGATGATGATGGTGATGGTGATGGTGATGGTGATGGTGATGGTGATGGTGATGGTGATAATGGAAAGGTTCAGTTACTGCTGCCTTGGATTCTTTTAATAGAGGATTCCAGTTTACCAGTTTTTTATTATAGGGCTTTATTATAGGGTTTTATTAGTCTGAAGTCAAACATTTATTAGCACAGAAAATGAATTCTGTAGGAATTAAGATTAATCAGACAGGGTTTACACAGGGAGTAGGGGAAGAGCTAGGGATAGGGGTCTGACAGCTATACCTTGCTGAACTCAAGACATTGGCTGGCTATTGGATGAATTGAGAGAAGCAGTCAGCACTCAATATGCTTGTCAAATAGGTAGCTCCCTAAACTGGTTACCCACTGCAGAATGGCAAAAGAAAAGAACCCAAACCAAAGCAGAAGCAGACAACTGAAGCACCCTACACACTGAGCTGGAGTATGAATGCCTCTGCGTCAGTGGCTGCCACTGTGAACAACCACATGGAGTGCAGCAAACTACTGAGCTGTAGGCCACCCAGCTTTTAAGTTGTTGTGGGTCACTGTGCACAGAAGAGAGGCAGCCCAGGGCAGAGGGAGGAGGAGGAGGAGGAGGAGGAGGAGGAGGAGGAGGAGGAGGAGGAGGGAGAGGGAGAAAGAGGGCAAAGAGGATGAGGAGGGGAGGGGGGAAGGGGAGGAGAGGGAGGAGGAGGAGGAGAAGGACAAAGAGAAGGAGAGGGGATGAGGAATGGGAGGAAAGGGGAGAAGGGGAAGGAAGGGGAGGAAGAAGAGGAGGAGAAGGTTAAAAACTATAGAGCAGAAGAGGTGAGGTCTATCTAAGGATTCCGGTCATCAAGGCAAAACCATTTCAAGACACCCCTTCCATCTGGAGATAGCATTCCATGCTACTTCACACTGGGTGCTTTGGGAGTGGGAAGTAGAAGTTGTCTGACTGGGAGCTGTAAACTATTATGTGGAAAAGCGGTCTTTTGCCTCTTTCACATTTACCTTAAAAATGTAAAACATGAATCAGAAAATGAATTTCATTTTTATCATGATACCGTAATGATGTTTGAGAGACACCTGAATGAAGGTTGTGTGAAACCATTAAGATTAACAAACTATGACAATATCAGGCTTGTCTTTAAAATCACATTATTTTAAGAATATTGTATTACCTACCTTTCCAAGAAGGAGTAATATTTTCTGATAGCAGGATTTAATTGCTAATGATACAAAAAAAACCCTATCCCTCCCCCCCCAAAAAAAACCCATGACCTCTCTGAATGAGACTTAATAACGATCAGTCCGTTTGTCCCTCATCAAGAACAGGAGCTTCTTTTTCTGAGGGACACAGTAAATAAAATATGTTTGTTTGTTTGTTTGTTCTATTGATAAAAGCCACACCAAATGTCTGGAGTGACATTTCACCATGGGGTAGCTAATCAGGTAGCTAGAATTTCAAGTTTCAAACAATAAATTGTTTTCTTATGTGAAATTTGTAGTAACTGTCAACAGGTTTTTTTTTTTTAATTTTTACTCGTGTATGTATGTGTGTGTAAGGCAAGTGTACATACTATATAAACATACATATATGAAAGTGTGTGTGTGTGTGTGTGATACTTTTTAAAGCACACACAGAGTGCTGATAAGTAGATACTTGCTGTGACACTCACCTGTCCGCAATGCTTGCAGATTTGATCTTGTCTATGACGATGACCTGTTTGTTACAGCACACGGAGGTAGTTAGGGCAACCCCAAGGCTGGCACCCGGAGTTTTGGCAACTTCAACTAGTAGTGGTCCGGATGCTGTCGCCACAGAATCTGTTGAAGAATACATTTTAGAAAACAAATAGACCAAGTAAACAAACAAAAAGATAAAGAATGCTTACTCTGATGCTAATTTGATAATTCATATAGTTTTCTGTTATAGCCCCACAGCCTGAGAATATAACAGGGTACCTTCTCCATTCAGCTGTCATAATATGTACATAAGCCAGTCCCTGGAATTGGATTTTAGTCTCTATGTCAATTAGGATAATATCTCATAGATCATTTTGCTCTCTACACTGCTTGGAACAATGCCTGGAATATCTTAGCTTTTTCTTTAAAATCAATTAATTCAATACATAACCAGGATTTACTAAGTATGTAACATAAGGATGTTTATTGATTCATGGGGGTGGGAAGATGGGTAAATGGATGACTAGATTGATGGATGGGGTAGATGGAGAAAGGATGGATGGGAGAAAGTAAAGAGGGAAAAGGGGAGAGATAGAGATGATAGATAACGGATAGATAGATAAATGATAGAGATAGATATAAAAGGTAGATGATAGATGGTAGATAAGTGATAGATAATAGATGATAGATGATGGATAGATAGATGATTTAGATAGACAGACAGACAGACAGACAGACAGATAGATGATAGAGAATATAGGTAGATGCTATCTCTCAATTGTCAAACAGTAGGTATAGCAGATGTCATTTACAAGCATGTGAGACCTGAATTAGGGTTGTCTCCCTCTTGGGAGTGACTTTGTTATTTGGTTTATTTCGACTACTTCAACTTCTACTCATCTTTGCAAAAATTGATATAAACATCAAAACCTCTGGGTAGCTCTTTCCAATTCACGGTCTGGTGTGGTAATTTTCATATGTACTCCTACAACCAGTATTATTCCCCTTGCTATAGCACACACCACCCTGTGTGTGGTGATCACACACCTCTGTTCATTGCCTAACTGTAAGCCTATTCTGAAGACAGATACTATGTCTTGTCAATCACCATGTTCTCGGGGCCAAGCATAGTGATTAGGACCAGGATATATGTAGTTAGAAGCTGTTAAATTAATAAACAAGTAAAATATCTTTGATACCATCTAATTCCAGCACTCAGGAGGCAGAGGCAGGTAGATCTCGAGTACAAGGACAGCCTGGTCTATATAGTAAGTTTCAGGTCATCCAGGGATATGTAGTGAGATTGGCCCTTCCCCACCCCCCCTAAAGTCTTTGGTGCCCTTTAAAGCATGAAAGAGATTGATATAATATTGGAAACAGCTCTGAAAATAGATTTTAAAAAATGATGATAATTTTTACAATATTTGGATCATGGTACCTTACACAAGTTACTAAAGTTTTCCAAGCCTGGCAGCTTTCCTATAAATTGACACTTTCCTTAAGTGCTTTTATTGTTGTTGATATTTTATGGCCTCAAGCATTCGGAAGCACCTTATCACATTGGCAGGACTGCATATTGGTGGATGGCTTTGTCTAGGTTGCTGGGGCTCTGTATTTGACATTTTATCAATCAGTTTGCTGCTCTGTGACCACACCTTCATCACAAAGGCATGATTCAGAGATTGTGTAGTGGAATATCTGTGTTCGTGTTGCTGAAGCCCAGCAACTGACTCGTAAATCTGGAAGGTTTGTGTGTGACAGCTGACTTCAGTGTGAGATGAAATAAGGTATCTCTAAGTCAGGTGAAGGTCCATGCCGACAACATCACAGATCCCAGTTTAAAGGCATCTCAGTTTCCATTCATGTTGATGTGGCAAAATACTTTGACAAAATTGATTTCAGGGATAGAGGGTTTACTTGTGCTCATGGTTTAAAGTCAAAGCACCAGGAGTTTGACCCATCTAGTTGCATTACATTCATGGTCAGCAGAGGAGCACACTGCTGCTGCTGCTAAGCTCCCTTTCTCAATGCACAGCCTAGGATCCCAGCCAGGGGAATGGTGACACCCAGAGTGGACAGTGGGCAATTTCTTTAACCATGCTTGTCATTGTCCAACACATCCATAAACAAAATGACTTCAGTGGTAGAGACTGATATTATACATATTCTCAACAACATGGATTTTTAATCATCAAGGTTTACCTTGCTATGTCTGCTGCTGAGTGCCAAATACTAAGACTGTTGATCTCAAAAGCAGAGATTAACAGTGAGTGACCTCATGATATGGCCAGGATGACTAGCCAGGTACTTTGGAGTTTGACCAAACTAGACTACTTTTACCAGGGAGAGGACAATGAGTTGTCCTTCTGAGTTAGAAAAAATAATCCTTGTTATATATTTATTTATTTTGAATAAAATGGTTCTGTCAAACTACCATTCATGGATAGTGGTTGTTTGAATAAGAATACTTACTTCCTAAGATAATATATTTTAATGCTTTACCAACTAGGGACTAGAGCTGTTTGAAAGGATTAGAAGGATTAGGTGGTGTGGCCTTTTTGGAGTAGGTGTGGCCTTGTTGCAGGAATGAGGATTAAAGTTCTCAGCTATTGTTCCAGTGCCTGCCTGCCACCATGCTCCTCCTCATGATGGTATTGGGCTAACCCTCTGAATGTATAAGCAAACCCTGAATTAAATGCTTTCTTTTATAAGAGTTGCCTTGGTCATAGTGTCTCTTCGCATTAATAAGACAGTTGACTAAGACATGAGCTTATAAAATGGCCCATTCACTGTCACTGTACCTCACACAGCAATGCTAAACACTGAACTCAATTCACTGTCAATGAAGAGTAGTGATGAGCTCATGCTTATGGAATTCATTGGTCATGTTAATGTTTTTCACCATACGGAAACTTGATAAGATGTTGGGATGGACCTTTAAAGATATAATTATAGCACCAATATGTTGGCAGTAGCCTTAACACCTGAGGCAGAGTTTTCCAGAAGGATTCATAAATTTAGACTCAGTGTTTAAAACATGGCACTGTTTCTTGTACATCCTGGATTCATGGAATGTTATCTAGTAACTCAATAGAAGGAAACTGTTTCAGGTTCCTGCAACATTATTCTCTGTTGACCTAGAAGTTTTGGTTCGAGGGGAAGAAGTGAGTGTTTTTGCTAGGAGGCATGAGAGTGACTAGAAGCTAAGGCTTAAACCATAGTTACATTGGGCTCCTGATATCCTAGAGGTCAAAACTGCTAAGAAAGAATTTCCAGTGTTAGAATGGGTGATTGATCCAGACTGCCAGAGGAAACTGAGCTGCCTTTTCTACAATGGAAGTGAGGATGAGTAAGTCTGGAGAGCAGAAGATCCTTTAGTGCATCTCTCAGTGTTAACTATGTCCTGTGATTGAGGTCAGTGGGAAGCTACAACAATCGATTCAGACAGGACGAGGGTATGAATAACCCCTTCAGGTTGCTGAGGTGGTTGCCGAAGGTAGAGGAAATACAGAATGGGCAATAGAGGAAGGTAGTTAAAATGTTATCTAAGGCCACATAAGTTGCAGAGATGAAGACTGCAGTTGCCAGAGGAATTTCAGTCCTATTTTTTAAAGAATATGTTTGTGCATACACACACACACACACACACACACACCCCTTCCTCCACTCCTCTATGTCTTTACTATATAATGTAACATTTGTTGAGACAATATTAGGGGTTAGTGGTTGTAAATCTATATTATCTTACTTAAGTTATGGGACACTAAAAGAATAAGAATTCATCAGGGGATTGTGCCACCAGTCCTGGGGTAAGAGAAGTTGTGTGTTTATATTTGTACACCAGTAATTATACCATGTGTCATGGTTAGGTCTTTTTAAAAAAAATTGATACAAGCTAGAGTTATCTGACAAGCAGAAAGCTCCATCAGATTGCCTGCGGGCAGGTCTATAGGGCATTTTCTTGATTGATGACTGATGTGAGAGGGTCTAGTTCAACTGGTGACAGTGCCATCCATGGACAGGGAGTCCTAGGTGGCATAAGAAAGCAGGGTGAACAAGCCAGGGGGAGAAAGCCAGAAAAGAGCATTCTTCCATGGCCTCTGCTTCAGTTCCTGCCTCTGGGTGGCTGCCCTGAGCTCCTGCCCTGACTTCCCTTCATTGCAGACTCTAACCTACCTATAAGCTGAAAGAAACCCTTTCTCTGCCCAAGCTGCTTTGTTTTATCGTAGCAACAGCAGCCAACTAAAACAGCACATGAGGTGGAACTATGAAGCTGCTACTTTCATTTGAGAATTAAGCATGACATAAGGAGATAGAAATGATTATCAAGTTGATAAGGGGTGGGCTTAATTTTGGTTAATCTTGCTTGTCAGCATGACTTATTGAGAATCACCCAAGGAATAAGCTACTGGGTACACCCGTGAGCGATTTTCTTGGTCATATTATTTGAAAGTGGGAAGTCCATGCTAAGTGAAGACAGTACCTTTGGTAGCAGCCCAGAAGAAAACCTGAGAGGAAAGCCTTCCTTTTTGCTTTATTGCTTACACCTCAGCTACCCTATTTTTTGCATTCACCTAGCCTACTGCTACTGTGGCTATAATTTCTGATCATTATCACAATCCAGCTTTTTCTGGCTTCCAAGATGGATTAAAAGAAAACCAGTGGCTCTTCCAGGGATCTTTCAGTGCCCGACTGGGACTGTTGAGCCATCCACCCATATGAACCGAGCAGCTATTGGGTTCTCAGCCTCTCCAGTGAGAGCACAGCCATTGCTGGACTACCCGACTGTTTCATGTAAGCTAATCTAATAAACTCCTTTTAATATATACATTCACGCTATTGGTTCTGATCCTTTAGAGAATCCTGAATAATACACAAGGCTTCTTGCATGTACTCCTTCCCTAAATGACTAGTTACACTGAAACAACTTAGTACTGATAAGGTGATGATTTCTATTCTTTAGGGCCTGACGCTGCTCCTGCCTCTTCAGCATCCACTCACGAATGACAGCTGGGAGGAGCCAGTGGCCTTACTCTACCAAGATATCTTTTTTGGTTTTGAGGCATTATGTTATTTACCTAGCTGCTTTTGTTACTTTACTCCTGAAGCCCACTCTATGGTGGCTGCTACCTTCTGACATT